CATTTTCAGCTACTGATGTGTTATACATTATTAGAGAAAACATAAAATCATAGTGCAGAGGTCCAATATACATCCCTTAAAAGGAAATGTTTACAGAAACTGTGTTTTCTGAGAGCAGGGTGTCATTCCTGACTTTTCATTCTGATTACAGTAGTTGCCTGGCTGTCATGCTGATCCTCTGGCTTGAGTCACTAACTAAAGAACAAGAAGCTGAAAAATGCAGACTTTATTCTGACTGTACAGATCTTCATACTTGTCCTAGATTAGTGACCAAAAGTATTGAAGTCAATGGAATAAGCCTCCTAGATTGTAAGCTTGAAAGAGCTGGGCCCTCGAACCCCTCGTGTTTTCGTACTGTCGCATGTTCTGTCTCCCTTTGTAATGTACAGCGCTGAGCGAACTGTTGGCGCTTTATAAATACTGTATAATAATAATAATAAGCATAATCAACAGGTGACCAGTATTTTCAGAAGGAAGTCTCTTGGGTCAGCAATGGCAGCCCCTATATTTCTATCATGACACAATTACTGTAAAGTGTTACTAAACCCAGGACCCTGTATTCACTATATCTGGTCTCCCAAAGTACACAGAACATGGAAACAATTATTTTAGTAAATATAAACTGCAAAATACCTTTTCTTATCAACAGTATATAGAAGTCTTGTGACTTCTATCAGTGTCTGTCTGAGCACTGGTTATTCTTGTAGGAGTAGTTTTCATTCTGCTCTGACTGTCCTATGAAGCTGCATAACCCCTGACCCTCTGTCTGGACAGTACTGATTGGCCATGTGCTGATCACATGCACCCTCCAAAAGAAAGGAAAAAAAAACTCTCTAGCAATAAACTAAACTGAGCATGTGCAGAGTGTCTCCCAGGGCTCTGTACTATCAGCAGATGGATTGGGGACAGTAGAAGAAGGGGAGGATTGGAGAAGACAGGATCAAACAGCCTTTTTACACAATGTGGAGGATTAACCCCCTAGGTTCCACAGTGAGTATAACAGGCATGCTTTACTGCATATACAGGCTGATTTTTCTGTTGTGCATTTAGTAACATTTTAATTGCATATCAGAAAAAACATGTAGTAACCATACAGATCAGTGGTGGTCAACATAGCAAATATACGGGCCACAATAACAACCCCCAAGGTGTTCAGAGGGCTGCACAGAAGTTTACTTTTCATAAATTTGTGTTGTATTGTACAATAAATGTGAACCGATTTGTATGCATTGTAGTGCCATTAATTATGAATGATGCCTGAGCACTGTGTTACAGTAGTGGGCTTGAAAAATTTCCTGTGTGCTGCCAATCCATTTAAAATGAATTGACTACCCTAAAGTAACATGCCTTATTACACAGAACCACACAGCATTGACTTGTGCATTAACCCCTTCATGCCTAAGGGTAAAACAAATCTTAACGCCTAAGCACATTTTTGCAACTTTGACATGTGTTAGTGAAACTGTACATATCATCACAATTACTTTGTGCATCCAGGTGGATTATACCTTGTTTTTTTCAGGACAAATTGGGCTTTCATTTGGTGGTAAATGTTAACGGATATCTCCTGATTATTTTTTTTTATTCAAAGGAGAATAGGCCCAAAATAGTAAAAATAATTGTTTTTTTAATTTAGCTAGTACCATAACCTTCCACCAAAGAACAACCCAAAATAAATTCTCCTGCTCCTCACAATACCACATATGTGTTTGTTAGTTGTTGTTTGTACCCATACTACAGCCCATAAACAATAGTACACATTTTGCTTTTTTTTCCTACCTAAAACACACTGACACTGATACTAATTTAAAATATATTTTTTTTAAATCCTGCCCAACAAAATACTGACACTGACCTTTGACCCTAACCTTAAGTGCCAGTTCACATATATGCAGATTGGATGTGGTTTGAATTGCATCCAATTCACATGAAATGTGAAATAACATTGCTTCCTATGGTCCCTGTTCACATACTGTATGTTCGGTGCACTGGCAGTGTAGATTCAGTGTGGTTTGAAAAAGAGTGTACGATTTCTGAGCAGTGCGGTCTGGTTCAGGTGCAGATTACAGGCTATTGACTTCTATGGGAACTGTTTTTAAACTGCATATGTGTGAACCGGACAAGATCCTGAGCTAATCCTGTCCTGAACCTGATATAAACCTGACCTGAACCGCTGAACAACTACTGTATCAATAAACTGTGAAACCTGAGATTCACTCCGCACCACACATGTGTGAATCGGCTCTAACTAGGCAATGACCTAGACCGGGTGTCGGCAACCCGCGGCTCCAGAGCCGCATGCGGCTCTTTTTCATCTTTGCTGCGGCTCCGGAGCACACTGCCCACCAGGTGACAGGCAATAGGGTTTCAGTGGTCAGCAAGCCGCGGATCGCAAGCCACATGCGGCTCTTCTGTGTGCCGGGCGCCCGCTCCCCTCCCTCCTCTCGGGCGGCCGCCTCAAAAGTCAGGACTCTTTTAATCCGGCCCGCGGAGCGTGGAACATTAGCTGTCAGGATGTAGGCGGGGCAGCGTGACGAACTCCTCTCACAGTCCGCCCTGAAGACCGGAACACAGCGCGGGAACACAGCGAGAGGAACGCGCGGAGCAAAGGTAAGTGAATTGAGACAATATGGGGAATTAATTACTATATGGGGGATGAATTACTATGGGGGATGAATTATTATATGGAGGATTAATTACTACGGGGGATGAATTACTATGGAGGATGAATTACTATATGGGGGATGAATTACTATGGGGGATGAATTACTATGGAGGATGAATTACTATATGGGGGATGAATTACTATGGAGGATGAATTACTATATGGAGGATGAATTACTATATGGGGGATGAATTACTATGGGGGATGAATTACTATGGAGGATGAATTACTATAGGGGGGATGAATTACTATGGGGGATGAATTACTATAGGGGGGATGAATTACTATGGGGGATGAATTACTATATGGGGGATGAAGCTAACTGCACGATCCTGTATATAGCATTAAGGTAAGAAACAATATATGCAGTGTTGGATTTGTTTTAAATGTTGCAATGGTTTTGCGGCTCCCAGTCTTTTTTTTTCCCTTCGGAAACGGGTCCAAGTGGCTCTTTATGTCTTAAAAGTTGCAGACCCCTGACCTAGACCAAACCTTACATTTTTATTATTATTATTGTTTTTATACAGTTGTGGGTTTTTTTCCTGTCTGCAAGAAGAGAAAGAGATACAATATATCTTCATTCAGAGAGAGGTAACGCAGGGGTAGGCTTTGCAGTGACCTATCACTCGGTGAGACCCTGGTCTCTGTCCTGGGAGCACAAAGACAGAAACAGTAGACAAATATGCAGCCCACAGAAAAAAAGCCCAGTCCAGTGGGGAGGCATATCTGTGTACGCTCAGCGGGTTAATATAACACATCGATAAATGGGCCCTCACATAAACATCAAGCCAGATTTGCACATGCAGAAATGAACATATTAATGACATTTGCACATGTTTGCGATTGTTAGGACCTATTCAGTTTGGCACTGAGATCCAACCTGCATGCTGAGCCACTTTTTGCTGTGTCCACCTCGGAGCTGCATGCAGGCAACCCACAGAAGTGAATGCAGACACAGCAAGTGCATGAACACAGTCGTGTGTCAAAATTTGACGTGCAGGCAGGAGTGGGTGCACAGATCTGAACGCACAGAGTCTGCGTTCAGATCCGTGCAGTCTCTCGTGTCTGTCTGAAAGACCCCTTAAAATGCGGAAGGACATTGCGCTTGTTTTAGAAGTAAATGCAATTATACTCACATATTGTACAAAAATCCTTTTTCCATGTATCAAAATCCATGGGGGATCTGACTCTGGTTAGTGGAAACTTGATTCAGCCCTCCTGCAAATCTTCACCATCTGATCTTATAGCAAAGAAATCAGCCAGCAAGAGATCACTAAAGCTGTGATCTATTTCATCAGGGAGATGCCGCACAGAGCTGCGCCAGTTCTGCCTGAGCCTCTGCACTAAAGTCATGTAACCACTTGAAAAAATAAATTGTACGTTGAATCCTCCAAAAGAGTGTACAACAAGCAGAGAAGATCACTGGAGGAATGTTACAAACTGAGCACAAAATTCAGAATTTTAATTCTGTTTTCTATGGTGCATAGTTTGTGATTGCGTGTCCATCATGAAACTCTATTAGTATAGCCAGGTTTTGAGAAATCTGGTTAAAAAGGCTTGCAAACATTTAAAAAAAAAAATTTTAAAATAATTTAAACCACCCTTTTATTTGTGAAAAAACAATTTGAACAAGTACCAATTTCAAAAATATATTTATTTTAAAATGTCTGCTCTGAAGCAGTGTGTCAGTGGGGTGATAGGGATAGGATTAAAGCTGAATAATTTAAATTCAGTTTTAATTTAATGATTTGCCTCTGAATATTTGTGGGTAAATCTATAGCCACAGAGGTGAAGGAATAGCAAACAGCAACAACAACAGGAAATAGCAAACTCATGTTTCAATATTCTGTCTCTGTCTACAGACTTTTGATAACTGCCCACAAACTTTTCAGTGTGATGACTGCAGTAAAATGCATATAGTCTGTGGAAAGGAGCATGATCATGCACATGCATGTAGGGCAGTGTTAACCTCCCTAGTGGTATGATTATGTGAATATTTGTGTGCTCAAAGCGGTACATTTTCTTGAATGGGAATATGTTGTTTTTTTTTATTGTAGGCCTGTAATTCTTAGGAATAACTCACTGCAATCTGTCCGAACAAGAGTCTAGTAAACATCCCAGGTAGGATAAAATTTGAAACACAAAATCATAAATTATATAATAAATAATCATAAAAAAATAATAATATAATAATAATAATACATTTTATTCAATAATGTAATCAAACCAAAAATACTGGAAATTGAAATAGAGCGTCAAGTTCGCACTTCACTGAGCTTAGTCGCAAAATCGTTTTCAGTGTCTGATGACGAATTTCCCCACGAATCATTATCACTCAATTCTGCAAGTGGTTCTGATTTACTATCGCTGTTTTCTAGTTGGTCTAAAACCGCTTTTGACCTAAAGGGACTCTTTTTGGACACCATGGACATTTCTCAGTTTCCAGGCAGAAAGAACAGTAAAAATGCAGGCAGGGCACAGGACAAAGCACTAGGGACAAAATGTATGTGAAATGGTTTGATACAGTAATGTTTTACTATATGATTTTAGTGTATTTAGTGAATGTCACATTTTTACATTTTTGAATTTCCCGCCGGTTCTGTCCCCCATACACCCCGTATGTCCTGACGCTCGCAGGGACTGGAACCCGGGAGATGAATGCCAGCATCGGCCGGAGGAGATGGCCGAGGACACTGCAGGGGGGACATCGTGGGAACGCAGGACAAGCTAAGTGCTGGAGGAAATCCCTGAGCAATGCTGCAGGGTAATCCTGCACTCGGTAATACCGCCAGGTGGGTTAAAGCAGTATTAACCCCCAAAACAAACATTTATTGTATTTCTGCTTACAAATTCTTAGATGTGATGGTTTACAAGTTTTCTTTTCTCAGCTCCTTTCCCTTATTTTCACCTGGTGATCCAACCAGTAAGTCTGTTGTTTTTCAACAAAACTGTTCCTGTATCTGATTACCAAATTAACTGCAGTGTAAGATGGAATTTGGCTTCAATTTGTTAGTGTTTTCTAACTCAGCTAATACATCTAACACCCTCCAGACTGGCAATGTTGCTGTCCAAAGGTGCCCCCTGTGCTCCTTCATCCACAGTGGGGACTATAATGCAGGAAGTGTGTTACTTGTCAGATCACAGGTGAAAACTGAGAGGAAAAAAGCCTAAAAAGAAAGGAAACTACTGCAGCCCCACATCTAATGATTGGTATGCTGCAATATATTACATTTTTGGTTTTGGTTTTAACACCGCTTTATTGTATGTAACCTGTTACCCCTCAGCCATATCATGCTATCAAGAGACTTTGTAATAACTTCAATGGAAATGATTAAAGAAACTTAGACACGTCACAAAAGTTGGGTCAAGCCCACATTATTTTAGAAAATGTGGGGAAAAAATGTGCAGCAGCACCCATACACGTGGTCCTCCCAACAATAGAGGAGAATTATTCCTCCACTTTTGCAGTCTGGTCTTGACTAGTATTTTCATTTTTCTTCAGTTTCTCTCCCTCTCTACTAACGTGGCCCCAGGGCAAGGGAGGGGCAAACAAGGACGCTGTGAAGGCACCCAACATCTTCCTTATCAACCAATGATGTCACTGATTGTTAGGATGCCAGTGGCTGGCCTGCACGGTGCCCATGATTTTAATGCTCCACAATAAAAACCTGTGGCAACAAAAAGGCACATTGGCCCATTTGCTGGCTTGTTGACAATTTTTGGGCAATTTTTAGGCATTTTGCCAAAGCACCCCTGAAGCATCCAGAAGGCACCCCAGGGTACCATGGCACCAAGGTTAAAAAAGGCTGATCTACTGGGTGCATTTCATTCGTATTCATTTATTTCATTTGTTTGCAACTTCAGAGGGTCTTGTAAGTTCAATAATATGTGTCAAACTTTATATTGTTATGATAGGCCAAAGCCTATCAATGGAAATGATTGAACAAAATTAGACACGTCACAAAAGTTGGGTCAAGCCCACATTATTTTAGAAAATGTGGGGAAAAATGTTCAGCAGCATCCATACACGTGGGTCTCCCAACAATAGAGGAGAATTATTCCTCCACTTTTGCAGACTGGTCTTGACTAGTATTTTTGTTTCTCTTCTCCCTCAGTTTCTCTCCTTCTCTACTAACGTGGCCCCAGGGCAAGGGAGGGGCAAACAAGGATGCTGTGATGGCACCCAACATCTTCCTTATCAACCAATGATGTCACTGATTGTTAGGATGCCAGTGGCTGGCCTGCACGGTGCCCATGATTTTAATGCTGCACAATAAAAACCTATGGCAACAAAAAGGCAGGCTTGGTTCACTTGCTGGCTTGTTTGACAATTTTTGGGCCTTTTTTGGGCATTTTGCCAAAACACCCAGAAGGCACCCCAGGGTACCATGGCACCAGGGTTAAAAAAGGCTGATCTACTGGGTGCAACTTATTGGTTTGTTGTAAAACAGAATTTCTGGGCAAGTCAGGTTAAATAGTAAATTATTATTTCCATGGTGATCTCAATTTTACCTAAAGCCATCAAAGAATGTTAGTTTTGGTGGAGACCTCTTACAGCTACACATTAAACCAGTCTATGAAATCTGCACATGTATTTTCTGCATGGCAAAAAAAAATTGAGGCTTTACATTAAGAGGTATGCGTTTAAGATCGGTCCTGCAGCCATAAAAAGTAGCTGCTCTCATTTTTAAAAATAAAATTGTATAAATAATTACAGAGGGGTTTTGTGACACTTGTTAGATTGGTCCCAGAAGATTCAGATTACAAGTTGTTATTCAGCCCTAGCATTGCGCATCAAAACTGGCTTATAAGTGTAAAGCAACACTTTACATCATGCACTTGACCTTTTTCCGAACTGTCTTCATTTCACTGTGCAAGAGACCTCTCTGGTATAGTTTCCACGTTGTGTTTCCTTTCACATATGTCATTTTATTCAAGGGTGCTGCAATGTGTAGTTATCAGCACCTCTTGGGGAAGTTATTCAATATATCGCTGATTTGATAAATTACAGATCAGTTGTTTATGGAGCTGAAAAATCAACAATATGATTTTTTTTTTGACCAACCCTACATGAACCTGCACCGAGGCTTCTGCTCCTAGGTTTTCGTGGTTACCTAAGAAACAAGTGTATGCTAAGTACCGATATACTCAAACCCTTTCACTGCTGGAGCATTTTTCTATTTTTTGCACATATTTGCTTTTGGGTTTTAAGATGACTTAAGATCAATGCTATACTTGCCATCTACAGTATATCCTTTGATGGCAGCATTTCCAGTTGAGGGGGACCAGTAACCCAGCACTGCAAATTATGTTTCAGTGCAAGCCTGTCACTGCTGGTCCTGTCTTGTTGATGTCAATGCCAATGAGAGGCCCTTCTTCCTGTATAAAAGAAGAAATGATAATGAGAGACACCTTTTCCCACACAGAATGTAGGCATAGGACATATTCCTGCTATGACCCTGGTTACAGGGACCACAAAGATCTAATATGCAAAAAATGACTGGCTAAACCACACAAGTGCTTTTTACCTCTATTTTCCCTTTATATAGGCTTTTCAAAGTAACAAATGCAGTAATAAAAAAGTGTAGTGCAGTGGTGGCGAACCTATGGCACGTGTGCCGCAGTGGGAACTCAGAACCCTCTTTGTGGGAGCCAAGTCGCCCCAGCATCACCCCAGCAGCTGAGAATCAGATAACAGCACACGTAGGGGCATGCACATGCTTGGAAAGGCGCGCCAGGCGATGGTGTCACGAGCCGCAACTCATTAGCCACAACTCATCCAAGCTTTTGCATGGCCGGTCCGTGCGCTGCCAAACATATATATATTGGGCTGGCTGTGAGTTTTAATACATTCTTTTTTATTAACACAAGATTTTAGCTTGTGCCGGTGGACAGTGGAACTTTGCCCCCTTGTGCTGCTGGTCAGCAGAACTGTGTCTCCTTGTGCTGGTGGTCAATGGATCTTTGCCCCCTTCTGTGGGTTGTCAGCAGAACTTTGTCCCCTTGTGCTGGTGGTCAATGGAACTTTGCCCCCTTGTGCTGGTGGTCAACGGAACTTTGCCCCCTTGTGCTGATGGTCTTTGCCTCCTTGTGCTGGTCAGTGGAACTTTGCCCCTTTGTACTGGCGGTCAGTGGAACTTTGCCCCTTATGCTGGTGGTCAGTGGAACTTTGCCCCCTTGCGCTGGCGGTCAGTGGAACTTTGCCCCTTATGCTGGTGGTCAGTAGAACTTTGCCCCCTTGTGCTGGTGGTCAGTGGAACTTTGCCCCCTTGTGCTGGTGGTCAAAGGAACTTTGCCCCCTTGTGCTGGTGGTCAGTGGAACTTTGCCCCCTTGTGCTGGTGGTCAGTGGAACTTTTCCCCCCCTTGTGCTTTGCCCCCTTGTGGGTGGTCAGTGGAACTTTTCCCCCTTGTGCTGGTGGTCAGTGGAGCTTTTCCCCCTTGTGTGGGTCAAAGCTCTGTTATTGTGTTTTTCTTTTAAGACAAAAGATGTTATATGGGTTGTTTTTTTCTGAAGCAAAACCTCAGTATTCAGGTTTACTTGAAGTGTTGGCACTTTGCGATAAATAAGTGGGTTTTGGGTTGCAGTTTGGGCACTCGGTTTCTAAAAGGTTTGCCATCACTGGTATAGTGCATACTGCATGCAAACAAATTGGAACATTTTTTTTTTTAATTTGTATACCTTGATTTTTCAATACAATAAAAACTATTAAGTGAAAAAGTGTAATGCAGCATAAAACGTTTGGTAGTAAAATAGTACATTTTGTTTAGAGATGCACACATCAGACCAAAAAGAGGGACAACAAAGGCTGCATAGGGATAGAGATAGATTTGATCTCAAAAGAGGGACTGTCCACAGTTGGGAGCTATGCTCGCGGCTAGAACGTCACACGTGACCATGATTGCAGTGATCAAAAGGGGCATTTAGGTAGGTTTGTTTGATGGGGTTGGGGGAAGGAGAGATCTGGCAGTTTGGCAGCAGCCTGGAAAGTAGTTTTACTGCTACCATACACGTTTTCAGTATTTTTAATTCTTAGGGTATTTTTTAGACATGTGCGACTCGTTTGAATTCGAAATTCAGATGAAATTTTCTTTATTCGGAGATCTGGATATATCCAAATCTCCAAACCACAATAGTAACACATTTCAGCAAATCCAAATGTCAAACAAATTATAATGAAAACAACGAATGAATTCTCATTCATTTATTTCATTTGTTTGCTAGTTCAGAGAGTTTTGTAAGTTCAATAACATGTGTCACACTTTATATTGTTATGACAGGCCAAAGCCAAAGTCAAGTAAAACATCAAATTTGCAAAAAATTTGCATTGAAATTGCAAACAAGTCAATAATGATTAATGGAATAACATAACAACATAACAAATGAATCGGAATGTTCTGAAATAACTCCCAAATATACTAATCGATTTGGACAAATGAATATACAAAACAAATCTGACTGTACGAAAAGAATTCCTAAAAACAAATCATTCTAAGACAACGAATATAACGAAGCGAAATGATTGTCTTAATGAATAAATCTGAAACTAAACAATTTTTTTCTTGTGCACATCTCTAGTATTTTTTTTTTTCTTACATCTAGCAGGTTAGAGAAATTGATAAATGTGTGTGTGAAGCAAAAATATTTCTTACATTGTATTAGGAAAGTTGACATTTGAAGCACAATACACACACAAATATAAGTATCCA